TAGCCATATAACATTTTACAGGCATGTTAGCGCATCGTACGAATCTTTCAGCGTGGCACATTTTCGAAATCGTGTACTGTGCATTCAACTTCGCAAGACTTCGGACGCGGTTTTGGCGTCGTTGACACTCTCATTGTTCATGGGACGTTAGCGAATGGAACACCGATTGGAAGCCCCAAGCATACGCGAGAGAGAGTCCAAAGCAAGTGGTCGAGCACAGCCTTCTGTGCTGCCCTGATGCGCGTCTGAAAAAACCCAGATGAACACACTTGAATGCCTCTATGACTGGCTGAAACATGGTCCACAGCACGATTGGTGGTCTCGGTTGCCATTTGTAAACGACGGTTGATCGTTGGTCGGGCAAGTGTGTTTGTCTGTTCCAAGTACTCACCTGTATTACTACCGTCAAATGCGTGTGCCGCTACTAATTATCAGGCTTCGTGCTTTTTCTTGCAGGACGATGTGGCATTTATAAATACGGTAGGCTCTGAAGCCCCCTTTCGGTGTTTCTCTGTTGTGTAGTGCCGATTCCATGAGGATACCATTCCAGGACTTGGAAATAACAGGGAGGTTGCATCCGCATTGATTATGTTTGTAATGATGCCATTTGGTGAGCTACTTGTCAAAGCATCTCAACACTTTTGAGCGAATATATGAAAGTGAAGTCTAACTATTCTATGAATACATAGATTCCGCATCCTTCCTATGAGCTTTACATAATGCCATACCAGTTGGCACTAAATCGATAACTAATTAACAAAGTCGCCCATAGGTGTGCAGTCAGAAGTGCACTCACTAATATCGTGTCACCGCCACACGTGGAATCATATTAGTTTGTGTTTAGTCATCAGTTGTGATAGAAGTAAGCACCCATGGAACATTCGTTGTTCAGCTTCAGGTTGATCTACCTACTTCAATGAGAACAATTCCCCCATGGTCTTCGCAATAACAATTGCACGACATTGTCCAACCGCCTAGCAGCCATTGCTGATTCCGCTTACGCTGTGCAGTGTCCTAGCCACGATGCATGTCTGACCGACTGCAAATGCAGGCCTGCATGACTCCCTCAGAACTAAGGAATTTCGGAATACCAGTTCGAAGAATGCCTGTCTACGCCATCATCGCAATCAAAGTTAGGCCACGGAAAGAAGCCACCACCAGGTAACGGCCAGCGATCAATAAATATAGCGCTTCATGTGATGGCTATTATGTCTGTCCGCACTGGTTTCAGCATATGTTGTCCGCACAAAAATGGAAAATCTAAATATTTACATGTGTTATTTCACTGCTATAAAAGATATTAGCCGATAATACTGAGCAGTACCCGTTAAGATATATTGCCTTAAACTATAGAACCAAGCATTCGGTACGTTGTGACGTGTAACAAAAGAGGCTTTTCACTGACTAGCCCCATGTAGCGTTGATAAATATTATGACACCACCGCCACGATTCCTACAGGCGAATGGGCGATTAGCACGAAAACAAATAAAACGGTCAAATGCAACAGTGGCGACTTCAACATCTCTAAGGAGCCATGTCTTTTGTAGAATAAGGATTGCAACTTGTGCCTATTCACGAGTTATTATTATTGTTTTTAAGGTCATCCATCTTTTCGAGGAGCGATCAGACATTGGCTTTTAGAATAGTTAATATGCTCATGCTTGCCACATTTTCCTTTCGCAAAGCAATTTTCCACCACGCACGATATATTTTGTTGATTTATTCCGATAGTTGCAGCTTCTCATTTATCCCTGATAGACCGATTATCGTCGTTTACTTGCGCGGAAACTCCCAAAGACTTCAGCACATCGCATTTCTAGCTTACCATGGTAATGTTTGCAGAAATGTACAATAGACTAGTCAACTAATGTATATGTTGGAAGTCTCGTCAAAAGTGTGTATGTCAATGATGCCTTAGATGGGCAAAATGTAGAGCACGGCCAAATTTGAAGGTCTTGCCGTTCACTCTTCCTTAAAATACGCACTAAAATTTCACCGATTTCAAGGATTCGTATACCTAGCACCCACCAACCATATACTTCCCGTATACCTACCGCTTCGGTAAATCATCATTGACCATTCTTATATCAGGTTGCCTGGCCGATACTATCACCCGTGTTTCTTGAAACACCGACAACTGACAATGAGACGACTCTCGAATCCTCGTGGTTCAATACGTTCTATAACTTCTTAAGATCTCACCGTACTCAAACGACTGTACACAATAATACAGCTAATAGTTTAGTCAAACATTTCTATAGACAGATTGAGTCCTCGCACTGTGCCACCTGCTGCCCTGACTGGAAAGAAACCCCTATTTTGCCCTAGGTATTCACACCTATATCAAAGCGGACCTGTAACGCGCATTAGTCGATCTGATCTGCTGTGCAACACATAAGCTACAAGGATAGTCAATCTTGCTTCCCCTAGCACTGCGTATGCTACCGTCTAATTTCGTGTCCTCCTTTTCAATATATGTGTGAGCTACGTCCGATTCGTCCTCGTGGGATGTGGAAACTCACAGCGGCCCTCTATCTGAACTCACGTTTTCGTTCGCACAGACGTAGTGCGTCGTACACGTTAAACTCCCAACTCAGGTACCCTCAAGATTATTCAGCGAACTTCGAAGCAGTTTATCCCATAGCAGAATAGTTAACGAACAACGGTATTTACTGACTGGTTCAAGTCATGAACACGCAACTCCAACTTCACCTGATGAATCCGTACGGTTACTCACACGCGCAGAGGCATCCTCCGCCCCAAGCACTGAGGATTCCTCCGTTCCCCTCAACCCTGCACCTACCCAGGTGCAACCACACCTCCTGACCGACACGTAGACATATGTAATTAGCTGTCGGTTTTACAGAATCTGATAAATCTTGCTATTTACCGTAACACGCGGGCTTTTACTTTTCATATTTATCGTGCTCCTCAAGGACAGGCGTTTTCGAAGAAATCGGGACAGATTCAAAATTATCTGATAAACTAAAAACGTGTAGTCTGTTTTCATTTAAACTTTGTGTCATAGTGTTTGATACTACCTCCCTGTTTTCATGAGTTATCATTTAATAATTTGACACTTCCAAAACATTTATGTCATTTGGTTCCCATACTGGCCGACTCCTGCCTCATTACCTTAATAACAAGCGACTGCAATTCCGTTATATGTAGGTAACGACAACAGCTAGTTTTGCCCACGGGTGGATTTTAGATTTTTAACAACGTCACTTAGAATTCACCGTGGGACGAGGATCGTTTTGGCTGTAGGATGGAGAGGGATTTACGGAAAGGCGCCTCCCAGATACGCTTCCATGCTTCAGTACGTTGTGTTTTAATTAGTGGTAAGCTGAATGTACTGATAATTGCACTGAAAATGTGCGCCGTGGCTGCAAACCACAGATGGAGTAAACACCTCATTGACATCCTAGTCGGCCGTACTGCATGGCCAACTTTAACTCATGCCCATCAGGGAAGTGGTTTGCCCGTTTCATTAGGTGCTGGCTTGCTTGTCAAGGGTATTGGAAGATCTGACGCTGCATTGTGCGCTCCGCGGTTGACGGCAATAACTAGGATTTTAGTCGAAGTTGGTAGAGAAGTGACAATCGCTTAACATTATTTGCACCTCAGCATTTTCTCACTTCGAGCCCAACGGAATGTTGATTCTACAATTATTGGTGGACCAAGGGACCGCATTTCACTTACGTGTTAACTCCTGAGAAGAACTTTAATGATGAAATATATAAGATCGCGCTTCACATCATGTCACATGGCTCGAATTGCTGTTTGCACTCCTCTTGATGTTGGTCTCCAACATCCCATGTAAACTTATGTTAAGGAATCACTTGGTACAATAATCCTATTTCTACTCGATGAAAGTCCTAATCATACTCGGGAATCCAAAGGACATGAACCCCATGATCCGTGTGTAACGGAACGCTTTTTGTCAAAGTAGCGATAGACTCTAAGTCTAATTTGCAAATAAGTACGTTTCTTCCACTATGTTTAGAATTTGATGTGATTCATTGGTAATGGGGCCGGATAGCGCGGCAAGGGGAGAAGAGTATTGTTGTAACGAACGAATTATGGGTAAGCAAAAAGCACACAGCGCTGTGGACTTTGATCGCTAACTATTTATTGACCGTCCACAACGTGTTTCATCGTCACTATTTTTGGTTCTCTGCTGGGTAACTGAATTATTTTCACCAAACCAAGGCCGTAAATTTAAACCGATGTACATAAAATAGACCACTTAACACTCAGCGTGTGGAGTATAGCGTTAAATGCAAATTCCTACAGAGAATTGTTTTTGGACTGCCTAAAATTTAACCACTTGTTATGAATTAAACTGACCATACTCACGATCACGTCCGTTCGGAATTTCGTTCTAAACCCCAACGAGTGAATATGAAATTAGCACCGAGTTGATCGGCTGCGTTGTTGCTCGAAAACACTATCGACTTCCTTGTTAATATTAGCCTAAATTTATTACTTATCGACAAAATGATGGTGGAGGCCACTAGCATATACCAAATCTACGCTTGCTAAGACAATGTTATGCATGGAACCCAACGACCGAATTCCGTGAGGTATCTACTATAAATAACAGGCATAACCTGAAGTTCAGCCGCCATTTGACTGTGTCGGAGGAGGTACTGGGGTATGTAGTTGGCTCATAATCTTCTCACATATGTACCTCATTTTTATGCCATACGTCCCAATAGTCAACTTTTATCGAGAAAGACCACACATATTCAACTTCGGAAGATGTATTTACCCCAATGTTGACGCAATTTTATAGGTGTACTTGACCCGCCATATCACGCATAAAGCGTTGAAACGATAGGTTTTGATGTGCATACCCAGTTGTACTTTCGTCATGAAAATTTCATGTACTCAATATTTCTCTCCTTTATCTTTCAGAAATAAGATATTTTGTGATGAGCTCCGGTTGCGTTTTCCTTGTGTGCCTTACACTGATTTTTGGGATCACTGCTTTTAGGTATGTTGTTGAGCTGCAGTATGATAACAACGGTACGATTTGAAATACAATTACAAGTTCACCAACTTCATTTAGGTAAGCCATTTGTCTACTTTTCCGGAAGGAGATATTATCAGACTGGAGAAAAGACGATCACCTTCCCAGAAAAAGATGGTTGCATTACCACAGTTTATCTGGACTGGCCTGCTGTTCGAAAAAATATTGGCGCTGTATATGTGGATCAACATAAGTGAGCGTATATTTTATTTGATGTAATATACCGTCTTCATGAAAGACATAAGTGTAATTGCTCAACTTAACTAACTAGCCACTAGCCATTGAAAATTCAAGCGGTACAATTCGGAAGTGATGAACTAGTGATTTCTGCCACCCAACACCATGTGATTTTACCTATAAACTGGATGCATCTGTACCTTGGTAGTGACTGAAATAGACAGTGACATATCTTTGTGTTTCCTTGAATAATAATGATGAAAGGAATCTGTTGAGTGATGATACATAAATATGCAACATGGAATAACAGTTACAACCGTAAAACCGACACATATAGTATTGGCTGAGATCCACTATTTCATTTTATGCGGTCCGCCTTCATACTCGAATCGGCATCTATTCATCGTCGTATATAAGTTTAAGTATACCGCTGGGTGTACATATCCTGATATGTCTGCAGTCTATAGCATATTGGGTTAATAGTGCCTGAGTAACACGTCTATGTCTGCATTTGGAGCAAATGTTTATAATTGACAAATATATTCTTCCAGTGCTAGTTGTGGCACAGCTTCCGTCTGCGATCTATCAACCATAACTAGCTAAGCGGCTGAACATAAGGGAAAAAGCTACGGGGGAAATGATAACGACAGATAATCAAGGCCAGTTAAAGTAGGCACAAATTGGGTCAGAAATAATGAGCTGTCATCATCGACTAGTAAAATTAATAAATAAGACACGTATTGTTTTGTCTAACCACATAATAAGCTGTCCATACTTCCATGTACGCCAGTGAAACGCAATAAAATTATAGCTGGGGGCATACATTCACATACGTTAATCTAGTAATCGATAAAATATTCGGAAATTGGTATGCAAAACCTTGAAGCGAAATTGTTTATTGCCAAATTGACAAGTTTTAGCACTGTTAACTGCCACCTTAGTATGATTACGTTCTGACAAGTTTCGATTTGTTGGCGGGGTAAATTAATAGCTCTGGGTGTAAATGCCGAATTTTTACTCTCAGACAGAGAAACAGTAGATAAGTTAGAACCTTATATGTCGGTGAGCAAATTAACATGATTTGGGGCGGCCAGCCGTATACTATTACAGGTAAAAGAATAGCCGGAACAAACACTCAGCGAGCAAGTTCTGCAGCGGCACTGAATAAAGAAGCTACGCCGAGATATGTGAGACAGTTTTGCATGGTTGAATTCGCACATTATATCTTACCACCTCGGCATCGATCTCTGTGCACCACAGAATGTATCAATGGCTAAATATCGCAGTCAACTTTCAAACATTCTAGCTTGGTAATGCACCTGTGTCTACTACAAAACTTCGTTTTAGTAATAAAGGCATAGAAAACTGTTTAGCTACATGTATCGCTTCTCGCAGAGGGATGAATTACATAACATGTAATTACTGCAATTGTCAATGTGCGTTACACTATTATTTGGCATTAACTGAAATACTGCGAAACGCGCTAAACCTATCTTCGCTTTTCTATTTCATACATTTCACAGAACATGCGATTAATACACCGATACCTGCTTGAGGCCAACCTCAGTGTATAACTCATATTTTGCGTTTTGAACAGATCGCACATGTTTCTCTGTCGTTGAAATTACACCGTTTAATCATTATGAGATCCTTCTTATGTATGCTTCTTGGAGAGTGAGTGTCCAATATTCACACAATGCGTGAAATCCAAGTTATCAAGTTTGGACATACACCACTAGCTTATAGTTAGCAAAGTTAACAATTGTATGCAAAAAGCGGGATATGAGGGCTCTGTCTTCTTTATTTCAAACATTTATCCCGGTATATAAAGTCATGTGGCTCCTTCACATGGCGGACGAAGAACGGGAAATAGTGGTCCTATTTGTTTGAAGTTAAAGAATGCAATCCACTATAAGCCATTTAAAAGGCAAATGTTTGTTCATCTAGTGGTCGATGGTGGACTATATACCAACACAAGCATCCAACCGTTTGAACATTATAAAGGCAAATATGTGGTTGTGTAAATTATTATGGATGCAACTTAATATGTCGCTGGGCGTAAAAGACACCTGTGATGAACAGGCATATGGAGAGATATGAAGGGAAGTTCGAGGAGCGCCGGAAGCAACGTTTAGTTCATGTCCACAGACGTGTTTGTACATAAAAGCTGGTCCCCATAGACAAAAATCGGCTTACTATTTGATGTAAATCATTAGACTAACAGTTGGAAATATTTCACTTATTATATGAACGCTGCACCAAACATTCTTAACTACTTTATCCAGTTTCCTCCTAGAATGGAACCGCGTAATTTTTCAATATAAACTTGTTCCCATAGTCGACGGCTAGCTTTACTGCGAGTCCATGTGATGAAACCATATGCCATTGCTGGGAGACACCAGTGCAATTGGACTCTAGCGCGCCCCCAATGTGTCATCAATGCGAGTGCCAAACAAGTGGCTGGAACTGAGGTTAGAGGTTGTTTTGCCACCTACTGCCCGATAATTTTTAGTAGTCCGACGTTGTGGAAAAGATGCAAAATTCCGTAACTTACGCCCGCGTAATTGACCAGAGCAAATGAACGAAAGGAACCTTGCTTAAGATTGTGGTGAAATAAAACTGGTGGCCTCTATATGTTTTTTACGGCATCGCCCTTTTAGGTGTCGACATATTTTGCTGTTTTTTCGATTTTGTTTGACGCAGTGATGAACTTGCTGAGAAAATGAAAAGCACGTCAGTCTCTCAGATGTGCTAGGAGTAAACTCATCTATAGTACATGACCAGCATTTAGGCTTCAGCACTGGACGCTGTCGTGTTTGTAAGTGCATCGAGTCGCGGTGTATGCGGAGAGCAGATGATGCTCCATCCGGTTTGGCTGGAAGTGATTGATCTTATAATGTTGGATTCAACATTGGTTATTTTGAAGCAGTCCGTGCTATCAGCTCCGCGTTCTCTGTGGGGTAGGATAAGGAATACGCGTTCTATGCGATAGATGACATTAAACGGCACCTAGTGTAAAAAACGTTATGGTCTGCGGAGGTTTTCTTCTCTAATATCAACGTGTAAACAACGATTTAAATCCCGTGCAACGAAAGATTTCATTTTATATTCACTGGGCTCATTGATTCGAAATAAACATAGCTTAGCAGTCATTTTGTGAGTATGGGTAACCGCACGATCTTGCAGCGCAGGAGAATGGATCGCTAAATTTTGTGGATCTCGTCGGTAGAGTAATTTGGCGTTAGATGCTTGAAGGTCTGTCTTGATCGCTGTGTAAAATCCCAGCAGAACCATAAAGAGACTATCGCATTGCGCAATGCATCAATTTCACGTAAAAGTGATTGACTCCTTATCTTCTTAAGCACAAATACACATTTGAATCCTTCTATCGTAGCAGATTGTGCCACTACCGATCCCTGTAAGTCTCAGCTAAACTCAGTTCCCTTCTGATATATTTTTACCTCGATTCATGAGGTTATATAAGGGACTGCGGAAATCTGTCTCCTAAGCTCCACATGAAATGTGGATTTCACCTCTTTCTACATTTATCCCCATCATATATCCACTTTGTGCACAAAATAACTATGAGCGCCTTTTTACTACCAAACTTTTCCGAAGTAAATGCTCTGCTAGGTGACTGACTAAGGAACCGTGAACATGCGGACAACATATCTCTCCTCGGGGGTGATGTTGTGGCTATGCAAACACTAGTTGACAGGCTGATGCGTAGCTTTGGAGACTCCTGTATGTGCTTGGTGCGGTCAAAGTTTACAGTATTGTCGCAAGATTGGACCGTTACGCCACTTGTTGAAGAATTACGGATCAGCCAATTGAATTGGTGGATCGGTTTACCTATCGTGGTAGCTGTATCACTTGTGGTGATCACATCACTGAAGAGGTCACTTCACGTCTCAGCAGGGCCAGTGTGGGTTTCTAGTTGTTATAACCTATATAGAGACAGCGGGGTATCAGCCTGTTAGTGCACGTTAGGGCACCTAATACTGCGAAAAGGATCAGAGATCTGGACAGTTCTCCGTTTGAACGTTAAAATCTTGAACGTGTATAACTCCCGGAATGCCGCTAATATCTGTTGGGAACATGTGTGCGCAATGATGAAGTTTGCCAGTTGGTTTTTGGCTAGAAGCCTTCTACCACCTCACGCGAGCGTTCGTTGATATGCACCAGATAGCAGATAACTGCCATAACCAGATAACGTTGGTTGGTCATGCCCCCAATATGACCATTATCCGGCATGTATAACGCGTCGTCGTAGAACCAAGTATCACGAACCTGCGGGGTGGCCACTTGACGAGGTGGCAGCTGATGCGGGGGCTAACTGTTAGCGTTACGAGAAGGATGTGAGGGAGTTATACGAACCAAACGATTAGTAACATGTAACATTGATGATCGCAGAAGAGAAGCCCTATTTTCCAAAGACTATGCAATATTTTTGGGAAAGCCATGCAGATCACCAGTCTCAAGACAGGTAGGCTCAAACATTTGCGCTTATCCAAAACAAGGGAAACGTTTAAAGTCATTAAACTTCAGAGTAAAGCTTCCGCCTAATCGGAAAACCGTACGGTTTGTCTTATCGGTGAGTAAGTTATCGCCAAAGGGCCCATTGTCAAACATATCAGGCTAGCACAGAGAATTAAATAACAGTAGTAAGCATGGCGGTTTCTCCCGATACCCTCACTCGTGACGCGTAGCTATATAACATTTTATAGGCATTTTAGCGCATCCTACGAAGCATTCAGCTGGCACATTTTCGAAACCATGTACTGTGCATTCAACTTCGCAAGACTTAGGACGCGGTTTTGGCGTCGTTGACACTCTCATTGTTCACGGGACGTTAGCGAATGGGACACCGGTTAGAAGCTCTGAGCATAAGCTACAGACAGTCCAATAAAAGATGTCAAGCACCACCTTCTGGGCTGCCTTGATGCGCGTTTGAAGGAAACCCTGATGATTTCTCTCCAAACTGAAACCGTCCAACGGGCAAATTGTGATGGCTGTCTAAGTAGGAGATCGTTGCACCCACATGATCCGAAATTTACGCCGTAACCAGTACGGATAAACATACTAGCCACCACATGAAGCGGTCTATATTTATTGATCGCTAGCCGCTACCTGGTGGTGGCTTATTTCAGCGGCTTAACTATGGTTGCGATGGTAGCGTAGACAGGCATTCTTCTCACTGGTATTCTGCAACCCCTTACATCTGAGGGAGTCATGCAGGCCTGCATTTGCAGTCGGTCAGACATACACCGTGGCTAGAACACTGCACAGCGTAAGCTGAATCAGCAATGACTGCTAGACAGTTGGACAATCTGTTGCAGTTGTTATTGTGACGACCATAGGGGACATTGTTCCCATTGACGTAAGTAGACCAACCTGAAGCTAAACAACGAATGTTCGGTGGGTGCTTACTTCTATTACAGTTGATGACTAGACACAAATTAATATGATTCCAAGTGTAGCGGTGACACGACATTAGTGAGTGTTCGTTGTTCTCCACACCCATGGGCGACATTGTTAGCTAGTTATCGCTCCAGTGTCAACTGGTGTGCCCTTATTTAAAGTTCATAGGAAAGATGCGGAATCTATGTATTTATAGAATAGTTAGACTTCACTTTCGTATATTCGCTCAAAAGTGTTGATGCTTTAACAAGTGGCTCTCCAAATGGCACCATTACAAACATAATCAATGCGGATGCAACCTCCCTGTTATTTCCAAGTCCTGGAATGGTATCCTCATGGAATCGGCACTACACAGCATTGAAACACCTAAAAGGGCCACAAAGCCTACCGTATTTATAAATGCCACATCGTCCTGCAAGAAAAACACGAAGGCCGATAAGTAGTGACAGCACACGCATTTGACCCTAGTAATTCTGGTGAGTACTTGGAACAGACAAACACATTTGTCCCACAAAAGAAGAATATTACAGCACGTTCGCAAACATTTACAAATGGCAACCGAGACAACCAATCATGCTATGGACCACGTTTCAGCCAGTCACAGAAGCATTCAAGTGTGTACGCCGTAACACATGTTATCGATTTGGCAAAAACTGGGAAAACTTTTGTCATTGTTGTAGGCGGAACATTGCTCCAAACCTTATGCTTACAATGTGTACACAGTGCTTGTTGGCGGGTCATATCAGGACCGTAGGGTCACCTGGTATTTCAAGCTTATCAATCACATAGAAATGAAGCGTAAATATCATGCTGAAACGCACGATTAACATGCACCTTATGATCTTTAAATAACGGCAGATCCATGGGTAATGAAGCGGTAACTGAGTACCGAAGTGGCTTACAGGTGTGGAGAGGAACGAACAGTCACAAATGTTGTGGCACGGCTACACTAGGAACCATCTTAGCTGGAACAATGGCTCCAATAATGCTCTTACCTACCCAGCGAACATGACCTTAGTATACAATGCGCCGACTACATCAGCAGTGCGTAGCTACACTACTCACACGAGTGTACGGCCAACTGCAACAACACAGCAGGGCAACTTTGTAGCTGT